ATTGCACACAAGCACTACTCGGAAAGCGTGCCTCAGGATCCCAATCTGGTAACAACGACGGACGCTTCCCTCTGAGATACTAAAACTATTGGGGATAATTCCCAGCCCTCCACTTGGAAAAGGCTTCCTGGCTGGGACTGGTAAAAGGTTAGAATTGGGACATGACAGTAGAGCTCTGTGAAGAAACTCTTGCCTTCACTTTTACCAGCCTCTGGAAATGCTCTTTGGCTTTCTGGTCATTTTAAATTTCATTTTTTAAAACAAAATTAAAAATTCCTCTAGTATGGCTCCTCTCCTTTCCACCAAAAAAAGATGAATAATTAGTGTCTTGTGCTTATCTGTGTGAGAGTATAGTGGAAAGTGGAAGAATGACTTATCCTAGCTTCAGAGAAGGACTGGCAAAACCAAAAGCGTGACTTGTTTGAAAGTCTTACTCTCAAGTGGGGTTAAATGAATTATTCCACGCTCTACTGTCGTATATTTTGATTATGTTTTGTTTTTTCATGGCCATGTTATCTTCTCCCCCCACCCTCATTTTTTAAAAAGTGTTTTGGAGTTTATGATCAGTTCATGGAGTGTTTAAGATTGATCCCTCCCTCTGCCTTTCAGAAAGACTGTTTTGTAGCTGAAAGTGGTAGAATTTTCTGTCCATTAAAAAACATAAGGCCAGCGTTGTAACCACTTACTAGTAGTATGTAACCCCTTCTTCCATGAAGGGGAAGCGGTGCAGCTGGTAGTAAAAGTTTGCAAGCCTAACCCATAAATTCTTGACAGATTTGTGGATAGGTGGGAGCTCTAAGCCATCTTTAATAGGATTATAGCAGAATCTTGATCATTTAAATAAAAATCACCTAAAACGTTCAAGGTCTCTAACTCTGGAGTAAACCTTGCTCCCTACCTTCCAGGCAGACTTCCCTGCAGGGAGATTGTTGTCAGTTCTGTATGGTGTTACACATTTTGGTTTTGGTGAAGTCTGTGTCTCCCATCATCGCCATCATCACTGCCTACTTTACCATAAATATCCTATTTTGCCGTAAATCAAATAAACTGTGTGCCTTGTGTATGGCAGCATTTACCTCTGCACTTCTGTGTGTTTGGATGGGAAAAAGCCAGTTCAGAGTCTGCAGTGAAAGCTAGAGTAGCAGCAGCTCTCGACCTTCTTCCTGCGTTTCAGCGGCGGAGAATACACATGCTCACTTATTTAGCAATATGTACTTAAAGAATTTTTTTCAAATCCTTCTGTTCTTTCTTGATCATCTTTTCTTTCCCTCGGGCTCTGCCTCCCTCCCTCCTTTGTTCACCATTGCAGGTGTAGCTGTGCTTGCCCCTCAGAGGACACCTCGTTAAGCCTGATGAGGCATCGCTCCTGCTTAAACACATTTTCCCTTCCTTTTTGGTATAGCCTGCCCTGAGACTGCCAGACCATAGGCTTGAGGTAGTTTCTCAGCACTGTGCAGTATCATCTTCTTGGGTGTTCAAAAGGGAGTCTGGGCTCGATGGAGGTTTCAGGAATGCTCATTCTGCACACTGCCTGTGCCACCGACAGATGGGCATGTACAAAGCCGTCAGTGTTTAGGACCTTTTACTTTTGTCCTCACCATGTGAGCACTGAGAAACCCTTTCTTCTCGAGCTAAAAAGGACAGGATGAGAAAGACGGCGCTTTCCCAGCGGCTTGATGCTGTACCCCCACCTGACCTTCAGGGGGAACCTTCCTGCCTGAGGAGAGCGCGGTACCCTGGCATCACACGACTGCATCATCTGCAGGATTTATTTATTTCTCCTCTCCAGGTCCATGAGAGCTCTCCAAGTTCCCCTCCTCCCTCAGCGTTTCTTAGGGTCTGGAGCCCTTCACACGTCTAGAAGGGGAGCACGTTTGGGCTGTTTGAAATGGTTAAATCATTAGGTGCTTTATGGCAGGCACAAGGATGGGGCCAGCTCTAGCTCAGGTCTTAGAAATAGGAGCAGTACATTCAAGGAACTCAGCTTTCAGCCTGCTCTTAAATAAGAGAAGAGGATTCAGGCAGTCCCTTGTGGCTTGTTGGTGTCACAAGGCACATTGGCTCTTCCTGAGATCTGATACAAGACGTTAAGCGTCGCTGAGTGCTGGACTCAGAAGTAGGTTAGGGTCTAGTCACCTCGCCTGCCAGTTGTCTAGAAAATTAGCACCAAAGAACTCTGCAGGCCTGTCAAAACCCATGGTGGTTTGGCTCTACAGCGGGAGCTGCCAGAACGGTTAGCAAGTATTTACGTCCACCTTTACTTGCAGCCTAAGAATGTGTATAGTTCGATGACAGAAAATGCTACAGACCTTCTACTCAAGTCTTAGGAGGACAGTTGGAGGCAAAGGCAAACGGTGTCTTCTGCAGAGCACTTTACAAACTGCTGTCGTAATTCTTCAGTCCATGTATTAATTTAGCTGCATAGTCAAATTATCTCCAGATAGTGCAGAAATTGAACAAGCAAGCCAGGTGATTCTTCTCCATCTTTCCTTTGAAAAGGGTGTAAAGGAAGACGGTGGACCTCTGTCAGTCCTTTGTTAGAAACAGTTTTCAAAGCTTGTGTTGAAAAGAAACCAGAAGTGCCTGGTCCTGGTTGACATTCCTGTATATCAGCCATTTTTAACAGATTGCTCCCTAAAGGGGTGATAGTACTTTAATACCTGGCTGGAGGAGTTTGTAAAGGGCAGCTGACTCCTGACCTATGTTCTGGCTGTCCCTCATGTGAAGAAGTTAAAAGGTCTCAAATTGAAATAGCCGTTGAATTCCCAAATGTACTACAGGCATTAAGCAGATTTGCCACAAGATGCAGTCAGTTAATTACGCAAGCTGCCTCCTTGACATGAAAAAAAAATTAGGCTTATGGTCCTGATGCAGTTGTCTGGTTTCAGTTACGTTGTGGTAAAGCTGGAGAAAATTCACTGACCTTCACAGAGTTACTGTCAATCTAGATCAATATAGATGGAGCAGTCTGAGCCTCTTGTATCTTTACGTGATACGTGGACTTCAAGATACCACGTTTTTCCCTTTTCTGTTCTCAGGGAGCTTTAGGAGCAATGCTTGTCTATCTTGTCTGCCTGTCACATTAGACTGACGGCTGCTGTAGCAATTGACTCAGAGCAACAACTTTCCCTATCCCCCAAAATGACCTCAGAGGTGTCGGAGATGATTTCTCAGCAGCATCCAGGCCACAGGATTATGTGCATGTCATTTAAAAATCCTTTAAAATGGACGGTCCACACAGCTTTTTCCATCACCAGAAAGGATGACCGGTGACTCTGCTTGTCACAGCCTGGACAGCAGCGTGGCTCTTTACAACCCTGAGCAAGCTGGGGAGAATGAGTACAGAAGCCTGGTGCCAGCAAGCCAGCTTTTGGGCAGGAAAAATACGACAACAGCATCAAATCAAAACCCAGCATTCACTTTGGAGAAATTTCTTACTAATACATTCCAGGGAACATACCGTAGTGAGCTTCCCCAATGTTGTAGTGGATGTGCCAGGCTGAAGCCCATCTTAACCATTTAGTTGGGAGCCTGACCAACCCACAGAGAAAGATGTCCACTGTGTGGGAGAAACTGGTGGCTTCCCCACAGAGATGTCCAGCCCTTCAAAAGTACTGTGAGATTCCTTCTTCCAAGAGATGTTTCTTCCCTCTTGACCACAGGGGACTGCTGCTCTGGTGTCTTTTCACCGACTTCTACTACTACTGTGTCTTCAGAAGCCAGGATCTCGTGTGCTCTTCACCGTTGACACTGTTGGACCAAAAGTCGTTGCTTTTGGCATCTGGGGCCCTGTGAGAATTAAATTACACTGTCCCCTTGCACTGGCCTTTTTGCACTGCTCTGCAAACCCTGTAGCGTAGGAGGAGTTTTCTTAGAAAACAGATTTTCTTTTGAACCGTGCTTATTACGTTATAACTCTTCTCTTGGAAAACGGTCGTTGGGCTTCCCCAGAAGTCAGGCCCCTGGTTGTCTTCTCCCACGCGGCTGGCTGGAAACAGAGAAAGGACCTTTCTCCCTCCAGGCAGAAACTGTAACAGATTGCATGATCCTGTGGGACACTATATGGGAAAGGGGTGCAGTTTAGTAAGATATTCCTGGTTATTTTCCTTGTGATAGAGCAAAATGTGGGAAGAATCTTAGGCATATCTGGACTTTCTTCTTGTCCTGGCTTGGCTTCCCAAGTTGTCAGTGCAGCTACAAACCTGCAGGTTGGGATTTGCTCGTTACTGTGGCTTTCTCGTCTGCTTTAACGCTTGGGTTTCGGTGCTGAGGAACTCCAGGGGCTCAATCTGACCTCACTCATGCACTCTCCTCGCTTCAATCTCCCTTTTCTTCCCCTCCCTGCCCCACCAAAACATGGCCACGAACGATTTTTGAAACTTATAGATGGAATGTACAAGTGTCAGATGATTTTGTCTTCATGATGATCTTACCTCAAAAGAAGCCTCTTGCAAGTTGTTCTGCCCCCTCTTACAGCTTGGGTGGGTGTTAGTGTTGGGGGGAGCTGCAGCAAGGCTGTCTGAAGAGTCACCAGGTGGGCAGGCAGAGCCATCCCCAGGGTGTGAGCATCCCCTCGGGGCCCCCTAAGCTTCCCGCACCGATGGTGAGCCAGCACCGTGCCTTGGTGTCCTCCCCAGGGAGCTTCACACGCTGGCCGCAGCCCTGTCGCTCGGTGCCGTCTTGGAAGGACGCCTGTTTGGGGTTTTTTTTAATCCTTCTCATTTGTGTGTGTTTCCTGCAGGGAAAGAAGAAGAAGAGGAAAAGGGATAAGCAACCAGGAGAGACCAACGGTAAGTAAATACGGTCTAAACCTCTTGCTTAGTGGAAGTGTGGCAGTCCCGGTGTGACGCTCCTAGGCACGGGGGAGGTGGGTGCGAGGCTCCTGGCCTCACGGGGAGCTGGTCCCTATACTAGGCAGCCTTTTTTTAAAATGCACTCTAATTATTTACGTGTTATTGCCCTTCCTAAAACTAGTAACCGAGCCACTGCATGTCAGAGCCTCTCGTGACGTTAGCTGAATTTGTACGTAGTGACTGCAAAGCCTTTAACTGCAGAGCCGTAGTTGTAATGCCTATGCCATCGTTTATAAGGTTGTCCGCTTATTTTACGCGTATGTGTGTGTGTGTACGTATGTATGTGTTTGGTATTAATTTGGGCTGTACCTGTATGTTCTGATGCATGCCTTACAGTGGTAAATCGCACCCATTTTAAATTAAGGAGGTTTGCCATTCTATATAGGAAATTAGAAATACTGCATAGGCAATCTCATAGTCAATTTTGAAGAAGCCCTGACTTAGTTTTTTTGAAGCCTTTGTATAATTTGTTCTTTTTTTTCAGAACACAGCGAATGTTTCCTAAATCCTTGCCTTTCACTTCCTCCGATTACAGGTGCTAACGTCATTTTGAGTCATTTGAAATAGTTTATAAACTGCTTTTTAATTTTTTTTTCCTGCCATTATAGATTTTAACATTAAACACTTATGACATTAAGAAAAAATACCATCCACACGTTTTGATAGTATTTATTATCTATATATCTTTATATCTATTATATGTTTGATAGTATTTTTTAATTTTGTTTTTTGTTTTTGTAACAATTGCTATTAAAACAGTAATACCGTAAAAAGTAACGCAAGAATTGTACTAACTGTGCAAATTGAATATGCAGTATTTCTTTAAAGAGACTGATAAAAAATGGAAGCAAGTCAGTAATGAACCTCCTTAATCTAATGGCATTTTTCATGGCTCCCACTAAGTCTTCTCACATTAGCATGCATACGCATTTTTTTACTATTATTTTAGTTTTGGATTTTTTTTTTTTCCCTTTCTGCTCAAGCCTATTCATTGCAATTCACTAGCTATACTAACTCAGCACCTTGCCATGCTTTACGCTTTATTTTCTGGCTGATACTAACATACTCATTCCGCAACCTGCTTATTCTTATCCATTCTTTTAAATACAAATTAATAAAAACAATTAAATTGAATGTTATTCCAAAAGCTGCATTATCCCAGGAGATATAATTTCCTTTTTTTCTTTTTTTTTCTTTTTTTTTTTTTTTTTTTAATTTTGTATCTGAGTTGAAGAAAAAAGCATGTTCAGGATCTAACTTCCATACTCAGCTTCTTTTCTTCCTTTCCCCCCCTCTCAAAAAAAGAGAATAAAAAAACCCAGCCCAAAAAAATCTTGCCTGAAAACATCCTGCTAGACCAGCCACAATGACCTTCTCTACCTGCTCTTTTAAAAGGGAAAGAAACAGTCCTTTATAAAGGGATACTGCAGCTTTAATTGCAACAGCTAATCTCAAGAGTTGAATAAAAATGTGATTATCACTTTTTTAAACTTTTAAATCAAAAGTCAATATTTTGCAATTAATAACGAGGACATTGATTTTTATTCCCTTTTTTATTTTTATTTTTTCCTTATTTTTATCTTTCTCTTTTTTCTCCCCTTTTCTCTCTTCCTCTCTCTCTCTTCCTCTCTCTCTCTCTCTCTCTCCCCCCCTCTCCCCTTTTCTTTTTTTCCTCTCTCCCTTTTCTGCTCGCTTTTCTTGAACTCATTCAGACCTGAGCGCTCCTAAGAAATGCCGAGCGCGCTTTGGCCTTGATCAACAGAATAACTGGTGCGGCCCCTGCAGGTGTGTATAGTTTTCCCAGACTCGCTATGGCTGATTTGCAGCTGGTTTATTTGGTACTTTCCCCTTTTTTTTCCTGCCTTGTTGCTTTGTAGCTCTGTGTTGTGATCTAGAAGACACAAGGGAGTGGGACACTGCCATGAGTTATCATCTCTCTGAAAGAGTTTTGCTTTTTTTGTTCCGTTGTTGGTTGTTTTTTTGCCTTCCTCTTTGCTGCTGCTAGCCAAAAACCCACTGTAAAACAGCATCAGCCTTAAGCCCATCTGATCCGTGGCTCAACCACGTTCCTGCCCTCCAAGCCTCCACCCAAGGAAAGTCGCTCCCAAAGCCCTTGATCACGCGGCCCTGAGCGTGGTACCGACACGGGACAGACGCACGGCCGTGTCAGATTTATACTTTTTTGGTTTTCTTTTAGCTCACTGTGAAAGCCCTGTTTTCTTCCCTGCCCTTGGTATGAGGGGAGATTACCAAATAAAACTGAGGTGACTGAAAGCTAAACGTAGCTGTAGCTAAGATGACGCAGTCCAAATGAGCTCTATCCACCATTGTGTTGTATTTTTTGTGTTTACCTTATGCTAACAGATGCAAATACTCCAAAGAAGTGTCGGGCATTGTTCGGGCTTGACCGACAGAGTTTATGGTGCAAACCATGCAGGTATAATACTACCCATTAGGCCTTTGGGGAAATAAAAGCAATCTGTCCTCTTAGTGCATTTGTGTGATTTTATTTTTTTAATCTTTTTTTCCCCACTCCCCACCTTTCTCTCTCCCACAGCATCAATTGCTAATAATCTTTGATCCTTGGAATTTCTTGCTAATTTAATGCCATTTCCTCTCTTTCTTTACCAATAACCTCTCCCTGGTGGTAGAACTGGGAACAAGAAACCTTGAAGTCCTTAAAGCTGGCAGTTTTTTGGCTTTTTAATGATTTTTTTCAGATTGTCAGCAAAATGAATGTTTAGCTGGACATCTGTATTTTGTCTTTCATTTGAGTCTAAGTTCTCTGCCTCCAAAGTCTTTTTAACATGGTTCTGCGATCTGCAGCACTAGCGTTTTTCTCAATGATGTAAAAGCCAGTGTTTACAGCTTATATTGTAATAACTTTTTTGGTGTTACCTGCAAAATTAAGTAGCTACCTGTAAGCTTTTACGCCTCGGCAAGGCTTATTTAGATATCAGTTTTTTTAATGATCTGATGTCTTTTTTTTTTTTTCCTGATTCTGAAAATACTTTTTTTCCTAAATTTTATCCCAGTAAGTGAGCTGTGAACACCTGAGCTCTAGACAAAACTAATTACAACTTTAGTAGAACAGTTTCCAGCATTAAAAGGAGATGAAAGACATCAGAACGCCCAAATTTCAACAGCCCATGTTCTACTGGAGTTTAATTCCATGTATAACTCAGTACGTACTTCTTTCTTGGTGGAGGGATACCGAGTAGTTCTTTTCTCATTCCTTTTTCCTTATATGATCGCATTTGGTTAAATTTGTTGTTTCTTTGTTCTGATACAAGCAGTCTTTGAATTTGGAATATTATGATGGTAGGTATTTCAACCCAAACCACACTCTGTGTGTAGTGATTCCTCTCCCACATTCTCCCCTCTTACTCATGCCAGTCCCATGTGCTCCATCTCATTTAGAATGTAGATCAGACGTCCATCGTATTTTGTGTATGCACGCAGTCTTGTTTGTGCTTAGTGTCAAGGAAAACACAGACTGAGGGTGGTGTTATATGTCAAAATACCAGAAGAGGCACCAGAAATGCCTTTGTCAGATTGCATATTGTCCCGTTCAAGGCATGCCAGTACCGGGTGGTGGGGTCTTAGCTGTCAGTACCCATCCATGTGTTAAACAAGCTCTGAAAGCAGCGGTGTCTTAAAGGAAGAAGGATTCAGGCCAGGGAGCTGGGTAGCCACTTCGCTGTGCCAGGAGGCCCGACGCTCATGCTAGCCAAAGACTCGAATGCTGTATTTAATTAGGCTTTATTCTCTGGTTAGTTCACTGCAGACTATCAGCAGATATTTGTGTAGTCTAGAGAGAGAATATGTGAAGCATGTCATGCTCCGTATGCCAAGTACCAGAACCGGGGGCACATCGTGTTTGTGTTGCTTTATCTTTCACTAGCTGCTTAAGTAAACAGCATACTTCTAAAACGTCATTTTATCAGCAAGGAGACTTTTCGTTTGGTCTGTGCAGTGCTTAGGTTACATGGGAAGTGTAAATCCTCTCTTAACTTACGCCAGATTTTGGTCAGAAATCTTTGCAGCTCATCCGAGACAAGTTTCTGAGATCGGTTGTGAGCAGTGCAGCACCTTTAAGTAAGTCTAAAGGCAGTAGCTTTAGACTTACTGAGTCAGATGCTTTTTTTTGTTTGGTTTTTTTAAATGCATGGAGGCATTTTATCACTAGGTAGAGTTTAGAGCATTTCTCCTAGCTCTGGTTCTAACCATTAAAACATGGCATTTGCTAGCACGGTAGCTTTTTGTAGTGCATCTGAGGGAGGGGATAAAGGTGTTCAATTTGTTACTACGATAGAAACTGAGGCACCTTTGCTCATAGCACCTGAGTAAACCCTTGTCATCATCTGTGGCTTTCACTCAGGGCAGTTGCAGCATGACAGGGTTCCTGGTGCTGTCCTGGGGCTAGTTTGAAGGGCAGCACGAGCCGGGTCAGGTCGGTTGGTGTTTGCAGGACTGACGTGGTAGTTGACGCTTAAGAGCAGCACAAAGTGAATAATCCTCACTGGTGCTTCTGAGAGGGGACGTGTAGTGGGTTTGTTCCCATTTTCAGGAGAACAAAACTGAGGCACAAAATGTTCCTCAGATGTTTGTTTACTCCCCTTCACCAGAGTTGCCTGACATTGTTCACCTCTGGTAAAATTTGGCTTGCAGGGCTTGGGTTTTACCCGTCTGTGCCTTCTGTCCCACCTAACCCTGCCACATGCACGACCACAGGTAACACACGGTGGGAATGGCACGGACTGGAGAAATGCCCCGCCTTGAGCCATCATGATTTAAGTGGATGGCTTTTCAGACTAAAAGTGGCCACATTATTGAACAGTTTGACATCCAGCAGACACAGAGGAAGCAGTCTGCTACCTTAATCCTAGTCAAAGGAAGATTACTTCAGGTAGCAGACCAGTGGGTTTAGTTTTAAGAAGGTTGTCAACCCTGCAGAGTCAGAAAGTCAAGTAGGCCTGGTTTTAGTCTGCTTTTCCATGGGAACTCTTTCTTTCAGGCCACAGAACTTAATATTAAAATAATTTTAATTTTTGGCATACTAGATTGAAACAGCCACCGGTGAAATAATTAACTATTTGGTAGGTTCAGAGCAATCCAGTTGAATGGCTTCTAGACCACCATCAGTGAGGCAGGCAGAGCTTGGGTCTCTGCTTGCAAATTACTTCAGTCTGGGGATGGTAGGGGAGCCCTGTGGTCTCCAAAATGTGAGAACCCCCCCCTTTCCCCACAGGTATTATCAGTGAGCTTTGGGAAGGTGCCGCTGGCAGCTGAACAGAAGGTCCAGAGGTGAACTGTGGCCCTGGTAGCACTGCACAGCTGAGGCTAGGAAGTGGTGAGACAGGCGAGGGGAGAAGGAGGAGAACTGTCCTTAGCCAAGAGCTAGAGGTTTCCTGCGTTGTTTGTTCATGGTAGAAGAATTAACAGGTTCTGTTTTGAGCCCACCAAATTAATTTTTTTCTGTCTTTTAACGTTGCTCTAATAAAGCATGGTTTACAGCCTTCACTTGCTGTCTTCTATCTTTCTTTCCTTCTTTCTTTTTAACATTTAAGTTGCATGGTTGTCTTTAGTTTTTAGCATGTATTGATCTGCAGGCTAACGTGGTTAAAACTCTAATAGCCCTAACCCCTTACCTTGCCATGTGGAACGTGGAGCAGAACCCGAGAGCAGAGCCCAAGTCTCTGGAGGAAGGGATGTCACAGCACTGCTCCCTCGCTGGAGCCGGTGGAAAGGTGCGGTGCCAGGGTTGCCCTTCCCTTCCTGCTACGGGAGACGATATCTTTTAACTCCAGGATCAAGCTGGTTAGACCTCCCTTGCAGCTGAGAAACCTCTAGCCCCGTTGCCCAGGCAGCAGACCTTAGTTTAAGTCAAGTCAAACGCCGTTGCCGTACGTGGGGGAGAATGTTGACGAGCAGCGGTGGAGCTGGGGCACCTCTGCGCGTGGGGAATGTCACCCAGCGACGTTCAGCTGCTGGGGCACGCTCGGGCGCTTCCTCTGATGAAGTTGCTGAGCTGGGGAGAGCAACCTACTCCTTCACATGGGCAGCTTGGGGCAGCTTAGCCGAGTGTCCAAGGTTTTTGTGGCAGAGCTGCTCCGGACAGACTTTGTCATACACCTCGGGCTGCGTCACAGCGGGTCTTCCCACGGAAAGTGTTGCTTGTGAATAGGAGGGCTGGAGAGCCGTCATTGTTAGGGTCAAGGCGGCCGCTGAACGTCGTTCTGCCAGATGCTGTGGTTGTTTGCCTCATTATTTCTGTCCTGCTGCTAGAATTGTCTTGCATATACTTGAGAAGAGAGATGGTGTGAAACTGTCATCTGTTTTCATTGCTCCTTTACATTATTAAGTGGACAGAGGGAGGAGAAAAGATCTCTGTCGGGTCACTTACTTATTTGAAGATGAGCAGCTCTTGCGAGACTCTCGTATTCCCTGGTGTGAAATAAGCTCCATGTTGCTCCTCACCTTTGTACCTGTCGTCGTGCTCTTACCTACTGAAATTGAATCCCACTCTGGAGTTACATGGATGGCCTCTCAGAGGAAAATTCCCCAAAATGCAGACGAACAGCTTCCCAAATCTACCACTCTCCATTAAAACAAAAAGTAAACCTGGGTCGATTCAAAGCCACAACCTGCAGGCCATACAACCAGTTATTCTTGTTATTTTGGATCATACTCTGTTTATCCTGTTCTTTTCCTGGTTTTTCTTCTGTTTGCTTTGTTTGTTCGTTTTGTTTTTATTTCCCCTCTCTCTCGTTCTCTCTATTATATATACCCCTCCTGTCTGACTCTGACGTTTCTGGATTTGGTGTGGTTCTTAACAGAGGAGAAAGCAATGAGCAGTAGTTTGCAGCCGTGCTTGCCTCCCAAGGGCAGAGCATCCTAAGGGACAACAGCTGACGCAGGTGTAGAGGTAGCCCCGTTGAGTTGGACAGCGTTATGGGACATGCCAGCAACTCTCCAGAGCTTTTCCTTTACAAGGATCAAATTTCTTAATTTGTATTTGCCGGAGGAAAGTCGAGCTTGTAGATTAGCACAGTGGGCTCCAAAAACTTCTTATCTGATTTTCTGTTTATTGAAATAACTAAGGAAAGGAGGCGGCCTGAAGAGGAGGGGGATGAAGAGACAATTGGTGAAACCTTTCCAAATCCGTTAGCCGAGGGGAGGTTCCCGAGCAGGCTCAGTGCCGAGGACGCCCCGCCAGACCCCCAGGACGGCG